TTTTTCTGTAATAGTTGGGGAGGGGGAGAACCCTCTTCAAAAAATATTTTTTCTATAGTTACTATACGGAGTTATTTATTGATTTGCTTTTATAGAATAAAAAGAAACCTGTTCGACAACTTTTTTTTTGAAAAAATGGAGATATGGAGATTTTTTTGTGATCTTTAGATTTATTTAGTATATTTTAAGAAAAAAAATCCTAAAATTAAAAAAAAAAAAAATTTTATTATTAAAATGGGAAAAAAACCAGCAAAAATATAAAAAAAATTACATAAACGGGGGCCCCTCTGTACAAAAATTTATGAAAAACTCAATTTTCAATTTTGATGCGTTACTTTGTTACTCATGTTTGAAATGACCTTCAGGATATTTTAAATTTTACAAAAACTAGAGCACTTTATCTTAGGGACTACATGAAATTGCTTAAAAAAATGATTATATTCACATAAAGGACTGTTAATTTTGAAATAAATCAGTGATTGATAAATCTGAGTTAATACTCTTTTACTGTTATACAGAATGTACACAAAAAATTTCAGCAAATTATTTTAAAAACTTTTTGAGCAATCACTGTCCCCGTTGAATTTTTGAAAAAAGCACATTTCGAGTAAAACGCATTTTAAAGTTTGACATCTTGTCTCAAAGTTATGGCAGTTGCTTTTAATAAAATACTTGTAGTTTTTGTTCTAGTGAATGGAAAATAAAAAACTTGGTATTTTTATAAAGCTAATAAGACGGCCTATAAAATAAAATAATAATAAAAAAAATTGTCGATTTTTGAAAAAAATATGACTTTAGGGTAGTCGGATACCTTAAATGGCAAAAATAAGGAACTTCATACGTGTTCGAGAAAGTCTTAACCTTTTCGACTTTCAAAGGATTTTGGGTCAAATAAAATTGAATCTTTCCTTCAACTGCTGTGTCTGAGGAAATGATTCTGAGCTTCTTTTATTTGAGGCAAATAAATGGATAAAAAATAAGATCAAAAGTCTTAAATGCGATGATAGATTTCAATTTAAATTACTTCTCTAGTTTGCTCTTTTATATCTCCATTCATTGGTCTGACAAAGTGAAAAATTATGGAAATTTGAACTTTTGAAGATTCTTTTCAGGAAAAAAAAGGGGGGGACGTAGTTTTCTCTTAAGGGTGTTCAGATAACGACGTTTTGATGCTAAGCAAATGCGAAATGTTTTTTTTTCCTGGCATCTGTCAAAAGTGAAAACACATGAGACATTTCAGGATATAGCTGTGCTGTAATTCCACAAAATGATAGAAATTTATCTACTTTCATTTTATAAGAATTATATCACAAATACATTGTACTTTTTTTCTTCTAATAAATCAGAATGGCAAAGTAAAAAAAAAATTGACAATACTTTTTGTAGAAATGAACAACTGCTTTAAATTCATATCACTGTTTTTGAAAATGTGTATTATTTAATTACAACTGATTATTAATTTTGTTGCTTATATAAAACTAATAGTTGTAAGTAATTAAATTACGTGCTTAAATGTGCAATGATGTGATTCTTGTTGCTTTGCCCTTTCATGACCAAGGAAAGAATTTACCCCCATTTCTAAATGAGTAATTATGTGCACTATACAGAATGCCAAATAGGACGTATGTTGGCGGACGTAATGACGTAAATGGGAACGTTAAATGTAGGGAAAAAACTTTCAAATCAATTGGTGCCAATGATAAAACATTTATAGTTTGTATTCTTGTTCTTAATACAGTTGATTGTGTCATATAAGAGTGTTTTCTCACATGTTTTATGTTTTTCGGAAAGTTTTTAAAAAAAGTATGCCTTTAAAGAAGCGTGCCCTCCTCCCCCCTCCCCAAAGTTGGAGGAAGATTCGAACGGCAAAAACTCGACGGCATAAGGGGGACTAAAATGAATAAACACCATGCAAAGCCATGATGAGAATTTTTTCTGGTTTAATTTTATTTAAGTTTTAATTTTATTGAATCTTTTCTAAATATTTGATATGCTCATACAGTTATCATCAGAGACAATAACACTATGTATGAGCTGAACCAAAACTATTACCGGTTGATTTAAAATTAGTGTGACCAATTTTAAAACATGTAACTGTTTATGTGGTGAATTTCAATCGTTTTACTACCAGTTTTATTTTAAAAATGAAAAATCTTTAAGCTACTAATCTACTCATTTTTATTAGTGGGTGTACATTATGGAACCAAAATTAGATCCTCAAACCCGGAACGAAATTTTAAGGCTTTTTAAGGATGGTTGTTCAAATTCTGTTATAAATAAAGCATTTAAAAATTTAGAAAAACATTTTTCTAATGTATTACTATCTAAACTTTGGAAAGAAATAAAATTTGGCTGGCAATCAAAAGCTCCAGAAAAAAAATATGAACGAAAGGGTCCTTAATGAAAAAAAAAAGCTGGAAAGACTTGTTGCTGTAGAAAATTATCAACCTCAAAGAACTTTTGTAAATAAATATAGGTATCGCAATCGACAATTTGTCGTCAGGCAAAGAAAACTGGCTATAAAAAAAGTGAATGAACTAGACTGTCATCAAATGTCTGCAAAAACCGTAGAAAAATGAAGAAAACGCTCTTGGCCGCTGTATTTAATGTTACGCAATGGTAAATACAAAACATGGAAAATTTCGAATGAAACACTGTTTCATCCGTCATCTACAACTGGAGAAACGAAAGTACAACATATTTTACACAAAAAGCGTCGCAAAGACGTAGCTTTGCAAAAGGCAAGTTAGCCGTCAAATGTTATGGTATGGATGAGAATGTCTTCTCAAGGCTTAACAAAAACTTTTTTTTTGTAAAACCAAAGGCTAAAATTGATGCTACATACTATCAGAAAAAAGTTTTATTGTACATGATGAAAAAAGTAAACATCTTTACTTTCGAGGAAAGATTCCCCCCTCAAGGTTCTGCACGAAGTCATACCGCAAATCAACTATAAAATGGCTGAAAAATTAAAGAAAAAAAATTTTCTTTCTGAGAAATAGTTACTATCACTCCGACTGTGCTCCTTGCGAATATTTGTTTATGAGGATACTTAAAAAAATAAATAGATGTAAAATAAGAACACTTGATAGGCTTCAAAAAGCAATCAAAGAAAAAGTTAGAAAATTTCCCCAAAAATGTTCGAAAAAGCTCTTTTGACTTGGCTTAAGCGCTTACGTAAAGTGTACTATGGTAAAGGAAGCCATATTGAAAATTTCATGTAAATAACTTTATTCAATAAAAATTTATATACTCTGAAAATGGTCACATTACTTATAAATCAACCTGCATTAGTGCTCGATATTGAAAAGAATATTTTTTTAGAAGATATAATAAAGGAAAAATAAAAAAAATTGAAATTACACTATTTTCTAAGCCACGATTCAGCAAGGAGATCAGTAAATGAGCCGGCATCCTATTTTATGACTTTGAACTATAAAATATTTATTTTTGTTCTAAACAAAATTTTACAAAGAAAAGTTTTAGTCAGGACTGCATTATTATATATTAAACTTCAAAGGAATAAAACATTAATTTTTTTCATTAGGATAATATATTTTTAAAATTAAGTTCATTATTGGTGAAAGCAGGTTTGAATTGTAACATGATCAAAATTTTGAAGTGATTAGTTGACCAATTTATTGGCTGGAAAAAGCAATAGTCTCCTTTACAGCCAAACGTTGTAAGGGCGTAACATTTTGAAAAAATTTCTCTTTGATAAGCAAGACAAAATTAAATCAATTTTGGAATAAGTATCATTTTTCTTAACCATTTAAAATTTTATATTCACCATTGCGCGGAAACGCGTTGGGTAACACGGCGTCAAACAGTCTAGAATTTCTCCTGTTGAAAGAAATGGTTGCTAAGGCAACGAGCTCTGGCGTCCAATTAAATTAACTTTACGGTTCTATAACGGACATTTTATTTCCTTTTCACTGTAAACTGTAGATCCTTAAAAATAAAAGCACCTAATGGATTTAGGAAGTGTTTTTGTTTGGCATTCGCGAAACAAAATATAATATTTCTGAAAAAACTACTGAAGCTGAAAAACAAACAAACTAGGAGAAACAAAAAGAATACATTGAATAAAAATGAAGTAAACATATAATAATATCGCAAAAATAAAAGTTTAATTATTCACTTTTGAAGTGATGTGTACTTGGGAAAAATATCACAGGACAAAATAATAATGATTATAACTTTACTTTTCACCTATAAATATTTTTAAAGTTAGAACTCTCCACACACAACAATAAAGTTATAGTTTATTTTAACATAATGTACACTGAATGACCAAATTATTATGACCAATTGACACTTTTACGGAGATCAGCAATAGCTTCAAGTAGTCGACATTAGAGAGCGAGGTATATTTTTTGTCTATAGCTATTAATTCAGGAATAGTGAAGCATCAATTGCACCGTGTTACTAGTGAAGAAATAGGGAAAAACGTGATTCAATTGAGTTTTGAAACAAAGTTGAAACAAAAATTTGAGATCGTCTGCCGTGACTCAAACCTAGCTGACGGTTTTAAATTTCATCATTGGAGATTGTCTGCAATATTTTTCAGATAATTGTTGTTTTTCACGTACGTTGCTCTAATCAGTCCAAGCTTTAGCACAGAATGAACTTCTAACAAAAGAATACTGCGGATTAAAAAAAAGTGTGTGTGTACTTATGTACGCACGTAAGAAGTTATACTTCTTTGGCGTAACAAGATTAAAATCTTTCTAAAAATCTTTTGCAGGGCAAGCTAGGCCAAGGACGAAAGGCGGTCACGAGCAGAGTTGAACGATATTAACCTTCAGTCAATCGGAACAGCCCCAAACCTGAGATAATTACGATTTAAATAAATTTAAACACCCCCGTTTAGGGACAATAGGACTAATAATATGGGGAAGGGATCGAAGGCGGGAATGATCTGTCCCGTTGTGTATATTTCTAGACAAAGCATTTTCGTATCCGTTCCTACGGAACGCAAAGCAAAGGTTCGCTGACGCGGGGGTATGGCTCAGTGATAGAGCATTCGACTGCAGATCGAGATATCTCCGGTTCAAACCCGGGAGTCTTCTTCAGGGAAGTGAAGAGAAATTTTTTTTTGAGTATTTTGAAGGCGGCAATGTGTGTGTGTGTGATCTGTCCCGTTCTGTATATTTTTAGACAAAGCATTTTCGTATACGTTCCTACGGAACACAAAGCAAAGGTTCGCTGACACGGGTGTATAGCTCAGTGGTAGAGCATTCGGCTGCAGATCGAGAGGTCTACAGTTCAAACCCGGGTATCCCCTTCTTCAGGGAAGTGAAGAGAAATATTTTTCTGAGAATTTCGAAGGCGGGAATGATTTGTCACGGAAGGATTTTCGCATCCGTGACGGTGTGCGCGCACATTGTAAAAATTTACCCTCATCCTATTTCTCTAACGCCCCAAAAGAAGTATAACTTCAAAAATAAAGCTCTACACACTTATTAAAAAATAAAGCCCGTCTGAGAATTTTAAGGCTCTTAAACATTTTGAAATTAAAATATTCATTTATGTATCAAACATTTAATAGATTTTTCTGACAGTAACTGCATTACAGACCATACTAAAGGAGCTCATCCGCTCTCGGTAAGAACATACGCTCTCTTTAAAGCAGTGAAAAAGAGAGTTACAGCGGCGAAATCCTTGTCGAAAGAAATCTTTTCTTGTTAAACAAATGAACGTGTCAAAAGAATAATGTGTCGCATAGTCAGCGTAAATCTTAGACTAAGATGTTACCGCAGAATAATTGACCGTTTTCTTACAAAGGAAATAAAACGCCAGAGGTAAAAAAAAAAACTGTTAGGACTGTTCACTCACAATAGTTACAGAAGAATTCTGTTTACCGACAAAACACACACATTTTTGACTTTGAAAAATCTTTCAACCACCGGAATGATTGCGTACACAAGGATTGCGAAGAAACTTAAGAGAGAGAGAGAGGAGAAAAACGCGCAGAGAGCTCATCACACGACTTCCGTAATAGCTTGGTGGGATTGTTTGCTATGATGGCATCTCAGAGATTCATTTTTTTCGGGAAAACAACGGCAAAAATTTATCTGGACACTATTTTGGAACCAATTATGGAGTTCTCGTAAGTAAACCTATTCAGTGGAAACTGCCTGACTTTTCAACAGGACTCTTCCTCAGCGGTGCGCACAAAAATTTTTCACAGGGGGGGAGGAGGAGTTCAGGGTCGAAAGTCCACCATTCTCGTATCATACCTCAATATGCTGGCAAACATTTTTTTTTATTTGTCTCACAGGGTAACTTCACCCAATGGTCGTAGGGCTGCGGTAGTCCAGTGGTCAAGGTATCGGATCATGGCAGGCATGTCATGAGTTCGAGCCCAGTACCACACTAAAGACCCGCCGTGTAGGGCAGCGATGCACGTTAAATCTGTCGAGAGCTGAAACGTCCTCCCGTTGGTGTGGTGTGGTAGTTAAGAGAGAGGCGTGCCAGCTCAGGTGTCATTCACGTCACTTGACCATGGTTCAAAATTACGTGGTCCACCGCCAAAAGCCCTCGTGTAGCTGAACAGTGCGACGTTAATATTCACTCACTTTACCCAATGGTTGTTGAAAGAGAGTGAATTGTACTTCATAGAAACAAAGATTGGCCTTCCAGTTGTCGGGATTTCATTCAACTCGATCATAAATTGTTGTCAGTATTGAAGGCAAAGATGTGCCAAACGACACATCAGTTAGGACAGTCTTAAAACTTCTTGAGTGAGTGAGTGAGTATTAACGTCACACTGTTCAGCTACATGTTATCTTTTGGCGACGGACCTCGTGATTTTGAACCATGTTTAAGTGACGAGGACGACACCTGAGCTGGCATTCCCTCTCCTAACTACCTCACCACACCACCGGTGAGCTCTCGACAGATTTAACGTACATCGCTCCCCTACACGGAAGGTCTTTAGTGGTACTGGGCTTGAACTAGTGACAAGCCATCCACGATCCGTACCTTGACCACTAGGCTATCGCGGCCATTTAAACGTTCTTGAAGGAAATCAGCGGGAGGCAGTGAGTACCTCGGTAGATGATCGCCAAAGACGCTGCGTCAAGTCAAAATGTACTATTTATGAAATTAAAAGGTAAAATAAAACTTTGTGAAAATATTTAATTTTATATCTGGTTACAAAGTTTTTTAATTTCTTAGAATTGCATCATAACCTATGGTACAAATATGTATGTTCCGTTTAAGTGGAAAAGATGAAATTCAATAAAAGATTGCAGCATCAAAAGTTATTTCAAAATTGTAAGATATTTTTATCGCAGAAGAATGCTTGAGAAATATACAAGTTTCCTTCTATAATTTTTTTCTTTTATAGATTTTTTTCTATTAAATTTACTGTCTTGGGAAAAAAGTGAAGGTAGAAAAAGACAAATTCGATTTTATATCTCTCTGACGTTCTTTCTTTCTTTAAAAAATCTATTTTTTAAATAAAATAAATTTATATTACGCTAACAGGGATTGCAGTTTCTAAAAGAATATATTTTTTACATTTATTTTATGTTCTTAAAGTTAGTTAAACAAGTTTCAAAATTAACCACAAAAACATCAAACAATCTTCCCCCAGAGAATGTTAAAAAAAACCCTAATATCTTTAAAAATTTCAAAGTTAAAAACAATCTTTTTTTTCATACTATCAGGAAACAAAGCAACCTTTTTGTAATAATGGAAAGAAATAGCTTTTTTTTAAGTTATATAAAATGCATTCTCAGTCGAAGAAAGGTCGCGTTTCTTTTAAAAAATCCTCGAGATACTATTTCATTCACTGCAAAAGTATATCTTAAATGCATTGCAGTTAAAAAATATTAGCGCGGAACCTTCTGGCAATAAGCCAAATACTAATTGAAAACCTTAACGATATCTCATTCATTAACTGATGGAATTCGTTTCAAGATAATGGCAACAGGGAAGAAAGAAAAGGAAAGATACGTTTAAAAGAACTGGGATCGGACACTTAAAAATATAACAAGGGGGAAGAGATAAAAACCCTTTAATTCTTAATAGGTGGTGTGTAACAAACATGAAAATAATTTAATTGGTGCATAAAAATGGATGTATTTAGAGTCGAATGTTCCGGTAGCGGTTATCCTTTTCTTTTTAGCTTTTTTCCCCAGCTTCTAATCTCTTTTTGAAAAAGTAGTTTGTAAAGTATTCTGGCTTCTCTAAATGTTTTGGAAAGTAAACGCTCTTCTTTTTAAAGATTTAGAAAGAAAAAACGGTTTTTTAAAAAAATTGAAGCAAAAAAAGATTCCATTTGGTAAGGGGGGAACAAAATTAAAAAGGGTGCTAAAAAAAAATAAAACGAAGAAAAGAAGGCTGTTTAAAAATGTTTTTTCTTAAATGGACCAGGGTGAACAATGGATTTCGATATCATGAAAGGATTACTGGAAGTTTTAATTTGGGATGTAATTCATTGGGAAAATGATAGTCTTGTTTTTGTTATGTGTTGCCAGTTTAATAAACCCTTTTTTTGACCAAAACCCCTATTTTTTAAAATATATATATGGTATTTTGGGATATTTTTTTGAAAAAATGAAATGTGATTTTTTTTATTCATATTGCATTTCAAATCTTTTGTACATCTTTATGAAAGTTTAATTTCATATGTAGTACTGATGTGACTACGGGATATTTGTTTTTTTCCCTTCTAAAAGGGGTAAAAAGGGAAAAACAATTATATTTAAAAAAGATACGGTACTTATCCACGTGAAGGGCAGAGTCCCCCATGAAAACTCTGTTTGGTTGATTAAATATATAACTAAGTCACCCATCCGGTATAGTGGTTAGTGACGCTGACTGCGATCCGTGGGGTAGGGTTCTAACCCTGGATAAGGCAGGATTTTGTGTTGTAATCCTTCTCTTTTTGTGAGGGTTCGCACGCTTACTTTTATGAAATTTCCCGGGGATTTTTGTGGTAATTGGTTATAAATGTTCTTATAAAAAAAAGAAATATATGATAAAACTCTTTAACATTTTTAGAAAATATTTTGTTCAGCAACTCTGAGTGGGTGTTTATTAGCGTCGCATTCTAAAGTTACACAATACTCATCGTTTTGAACCAGGGCAAATGACAAAAATGACGCCCCAGCGCCCTCCCTTCTCCAAACTGCATCCCCCCACGCCAACCCGGGACTTTTAGTCATGTCAGATTTAACGTGTATCAGCCCCTTTGCCCGTAAGTCTTTTTGGCACAAAACCCCAATGAGGTTACGGATCAAAAACAAAAAAATATCCCATCTGTGTATAAAGTTTTTAAATTTGTAATACATTATAACACACACTTCAAAATCATTTTTATATACAGTGGCGTAACGGAGAATATTAGGGTCCCTTCCAAAGACATTTTTCCCACCTCAAACTGGTCTACAAAAGGGTTGCTAAACAACAACATCACTTTTGGGGCCCCGTGGCGTAACCGGAAGATTGGGCCCCCAAAAAGGATCTTAACCCCCCAAACAGGCCTTGGACTCCCCAGCGCGAGGGTGTACGTTACGCCACTGGTCAGATAGATATACTTTTTTTAGAGACCCGGAAATTGGATTAAAAAGGGGGGAGAGTTTATACGCGTGAGGGGACTCAGTGATCCGAGCAATCTCCCCTGTTGAAAGAATAAATACCACAATGCAGAAAGGATTAATAATAAAAAAAGAGTCAGCAGCGACGGGCTCGAACAGCTTAAAAAAAATGTTGACTGTAAACGAGGCATTTATTAATCAATTGAGCTGATCGAACTAGACATAGTAGGCACTTTTGTGTTGGGACTGTTTTTTTATTTTTCCTATAATTCTCTGAAGTAAATACAAAGTATTCTTGCTTTTTATAAACCCTTACACGAAAGACCTTTTTTCCTTAAAGAATGTTGAAAGATTTTCATAAAATTTCGGGCGATGGGATTTCATTGAGCTAAAGGGAGAAGAATTTTCCCTGTTGGTGAGGCCTGTTATGCGCCATTCCATAAGTGCTTTCAGACCCATGTTTATGAAAAATCATATGAGTGAATGTTTTTGATTGATATTTAGCGTCACTTGAATTGTGT